ATGCTTTTTCTGTGTCTGTGTGGCTTTCCAACAGGTGCTCTGGTTTACTCCCAAAGTCCAAAAATGTACAGGTAATGTGGATTGGTCATGCTAAAATGCCATTAGTGTCGAGGGATGTGTAGACTAGGTGGATTAGTCATGGCTAATGTGGCATTACAGGAAAAAAAATGGGTCTGGGTGGGATGTTCTTTGGAGGATCAGTGCAGACTCTGTGGGCTGAAAGGTCTCAATCCGCACTGTAGCAATTCTATTCTAAAACCCACCTTTCTACTCGGGAGTGATGAATGTACCAACAAAGAGGAGGACGAGACATAAAACTCAAAACTGACTATGCCTCCAGCAGGAATGTTGAGAGTTTACCAATTGAATTAGTTCCAGAAGCGTTTCAAAATATTGGTAAATTTTACACTATTTGGCAAGTTTTAAAATGTTTATGTATATTAAAAATCACTTACATAGTAACTGCTACCATACAACCACAAAAACATTTAAATGATACAGTCATCTTTAGATGACATTTTTAATGATTTGCTATCAGATTAGTACACTTTACAAACAATTCTTATTTTTGAGATAAACAGATTTTCAACTGTATCAATAAAATTCAACTAAGGGCTACATTTTATGTGTGAGTTTGTTCCTCTCAAACTTGTGTAATTAAACCTGCCTGAACATGGCAGGCTCATCAGGCAATTACATTGGCTCTTGAATTGATTTGAAATGGGACATGAAGAAAGAGTCAGGGCCTCCGATGGCACTGTGTGCAGGAGATCGCCTTACCCACAGCAAAGCCACAACTTGGCCTGTACATTTGGCATCAACTTCAACTGCCACATACCAAATTGTAAACATGGCAGCCTGAGGCCTCAAGGTATAATCAATTGGCCACTTAAGGGCCTCAGATGGCTGATAAGCAAAGAACCTGCCCAAAACCTGCTTCACAATGTGTAAAATATTCACAATGAAAGGCAGGATTTGGGGGATGCAAGCATCAAACAACTATAGCGTCCAATTTTATGCACGTTCCATGTACCCCTCAGCCCCTCACAGTCAAATTCTACCCAAATTTTCCTCTCAATCATTTCCAAAGCTGAAGCTTTTATAAATTCATAATTATACACGTATGCAAATGCTTAGATATTTTCACTACTGCATCATAAGGATAACCTTGTACCCACAAGGCCTATATCTACTAACTTAATCCTCAGATAAAGAAGTCTTATCCCATTATAAGCAGTTAAATCAACAAGAGATGACAGGAGGATTTTCAATGCAAACCCAGTTCAAGTACCTTCTATTCTTTGTTTAGAAAGTAATGATTTAATTTTAATTTAAAGAAAGTGCAAGCAGAATTTGAAAATGTAACCATACATGGATAATGCAGCATGTAGGAATGGAGATTTCCAAACTGGTTCCAATTTTAACAAAGATTTTTATAAGTTTCTTATGCTACAGGAGCTTTTGACATATTAAGTGAATGATATAATAGCTGTGCCTGATACAATAAGTGTACATTCAGTTGTTTTCAGTTATTTAGTACAGTTAAATAGACATTGGGGGCTAGCACTCAATTGTGATCTACATGAATGATCATCACTTAACACTAAAATATATCTCGGTTTGATCTGTTCGAGGCTTAATCAATGTCAGGTGATGTTAAGGTGTAATCCTACTTTCACCTTCAGCATTACTGAGAAAATGTAATTGAAAGCGATTGAGTGCTGCACCTAGCTGTGGATCTGTGTAGGTGGTTAGTAAGGCTACTGTTACCATGAAATATTGTTACTCCTGAAGCCCTGAAATGGAATGAATGATCATATATTATTAGTTTATTGCAGGAAATTAATTTTTCTATTGCAGTGGGTAAAGTCAGGAAACAACGTATCCCAAAATGAATTCGACCAAAGAAGAAGTGGAGAAATTTTTGGACAGTAACCCTAATTTTGCCAAGGAATACTATGACACAAGACTACGATCTGTACATATTGCTAACATGCTGGGATCTCAAGAATCAAATGTGGACTACAGTACTTTCCAGGAGGTAAACTGTGTTGAGGAAAGTGAAATTATTTTTGAGCTGATTCGAGACATGCAGGATATTAATATGGAAAAGACAGTGTTTAATATACTCAGAAGAATTACATTTCTCATTCATGCAGATTGTATGAGTTTGTTCATGTACAGATCCAGGAATGGAACTCCTGAACTTGCCACTAGGCTATTTAATGTTCAAAAAAATTCTGTTTTTGAAGATTGTTTTGTTTCACCAGATTGTGAAATAGTTTTTCCTCTTGACACTGGAATCATTGGATATGTGGCTCACACTAAGAAAACAGTGAATATCCAAGATAAAAATAAGGTACTACAAATACTTGTTAAACATTTGAATAATGCTCTAATCTAATGAAAAGTATTTAATATAACAGAAAACATGTAGGTATCTATACACTCTGCACTGCAATTTAAAATGTTGATGGAGACACTATTTCCAGGCAAAAGCCAAGGGAATTTACTGCACTTATTTTTCAGTGATGATTATTCTTGTGAAAGCCAATGTATGTCACATAATGAGAGAAAGCCAAAATACAAAGCAAATAAAGCAAAAAGGAATCTTCAATGGAAGGTGTACAGAAGTAGCAGGAGATATCAAAAGAAGATAGGACAAAAGAGACAAAGAGGAAATGAGAAGCAGACAGAGAGAAAGGGTAGGCAGAGGCACACAAATGATGATGCAGAAAGTGTGAAGGTAAAGAATGAAAAAATGAGGGAGACGGAGTGTAAAAACAGCGCAAAATAGACTAGAAAAAGATGTACAAAAATATCTATGAACAATCCAGAAAAAAATAAACTAACAAAAATGTAAGTTAATTTTTTAGAACAAACATAAATGTGTTTATTTCTGTTTTAAGCAATTTAACTTCAAGAGGAAAGTTTGAAAAATAACTGTAACTGTTACAATGTAATTTTGTTATCAGAAATCAACAGACGGTACGCAATAAAATAATTCTCCAAATAAGTTTTCATTTGATAAGTCTTTGAAAATTATTACTTGTAACAGGTTTTCTGCTGGGAGTAGATAAAGTACTGTTTGTAATGTATGTGAAAATCCTATTGAAACATCAGCAAATTTTTCAGCATAAAAAGTGTACAGAGCTATGCAATTTTTGCAGTGTTTATGAAAGGCCTTTGCAGTTGAAATGGAAATCTGAAAAAGGGTACATTAAAGCGTAAAAAAAAATTAGCAGATTAGATTACATGAACACAAACTTGAATGCTTAGAGAGGATGCAGAATGTTATACTTAAATACACTGCAGCAAAAGCCCCATTATTTACTAAATTAATTCTCTTTGCAACTTTGTGGAATGCAAGTTTCCACACTTGAATTCTGTAGTTAAAAGTTATGTAAGTAGACAGAAAATATATGTAATGATTTTTAACTTATCGCATCTGCAAAGGACAAATTTCTATTTCGTTATTAATGAAACAAAACAAGTACAAAACTAAATTCCATGCAAATACTGTATGTAACAATAAACTATAGTGGTAACCATTATGGCCTACAGAGGTTTTATTGGGAACTTTACTGCTACACTAATATTTTGGCTTCTTTATATATCTATATTTTAGATTTAACTCCATATGTAAAAAAATATATAATCTCATGCATCATCATGCATGCAAGTAACAAAGCATTCGTAAAAATACTACCCTTGCATAACTTCATTCAATTGAAAGAAGAAAGTTAACATTATCTTGGAAAGTAAAAGCAAAATTGCTGGAAGCTCAGCAGGTCTGGCAGTATCTGTGGAGAGAAATCAAAGTTAATGTTTTGGGTCCAGTGACCCTTCCTCAAAACACAGATGGTTCATTTTCGGGTCACTGGACCCAAATCGTTAACTCTGATTTCTGTCCACAGATGTTGCCAGACCTGTTGAACTTTTCCAGCAATTTTTGTTCTTGGTTCTGATTTCCTTTCAGTTCCTCAGTTTTTATTATCTTGGAAAACATTTTTTGCCCTTAACGTAGACATTAATGCAATTACTGTAGACATTACGTAGCTGTTGAGCTGATTATTTTAATCCTAGCTACAAACTATGTATAACTGATTGTAATACATTTAAAAAAAAAGCCCTGAGTTTGGCAATGTAATTTGAAGGGAGATTATGGGAAGTTACTAAAATGTGAAAGAAGTTGTTATTTGAAGCATTTTAGGAAATGCTAGAGTGCAATCTTGCATTCAAGCTTTAAGGTTTTGGCTGTATGACTGGTTCATTCCCCCTTTATGATGTTATATTTTGTAATTCAGTTACAGATTCTAGATACAATACTATTTATAATAAATACTACAGAAATCTCTTAATAATGTCAAATATGTGCTTATCTAAATGAAATTTAAAATGTGTTTTACTAACTGGAGGTATATTTTAACAAAATGTTAACACATGATTCTTATTGAGAGAAATTTCCACAATCAGTATTGGTCAAATATTTGTAACAAAATAGAGGCAGTGATGTTATAAATGTGAAGTTATTCACTTTGGAAGCAAAAACAAGGAGGCAGATTACTACCTAAATGGCCATAAATTGGGAGAGGGGAGTGTGTAGTGGGACCTAGGTTTCCTTGTGCACCAGTCGCTGAAGGTAAGCATGCAGGTGCAGCAGGCGGTAAAGAAGGCAAATGGTACGTTGTCCTTCATTGCGAGAGATTTCAAGTACAGGAGCAGGGATGTGTTGTTGCAGTTATACAGGGCCTTGGTGAGGCCACACCTAGAATATTGCGTGCAGTTTTGGTCTCATTTTCTGAGGAAGCATGCTCTTGCTCTCGAAGGAGTGCAGGAAAGGTTTACCAGGCTGATTCCAGGGATGGTGGGTCTGATGTATGAGGAGACATTGACTAGGTTAGGATTGTTTTCACTGGAGTTCAGATGAATGAGGGGGTTCTTATAGAGACTTATAAAATTCTAAGAGGACTAGATAGGGTAGATGTAGAGAGAATGTTCCCGATGGTGGATGTGTCCAGAAACAGGGGTCACAGTATGAGGATTCAGGGTAGACCATTTAGGATGGAGATGAGGAGACATTCTTCACCCAGAAAGTGGTGAGCCTGTGGAATTCATTACCACAGGAAGCAGTTGATGCCAAAACATTGAATGTATTCAAGAGGCGGCTAGATATAGCACGTGGGGTGAATGGTTTCAAAGGTTATGGGGAGAAAGCAGGATTAGGCTATTGAGTTGGGCGATCAGCCATGATCTTGATGAATAGCAGAGCAAGCTCAAAGGGCCAAATGGCCTCTTCCTGCTCCTATCTTCTATGTTTCTATGTTTAGAGAGGCCTTACAGTTGTTGGCAGTCTCAAAAGATAAAATCATTTAATTAGGGCATCATAATTAGCTGTGGAAAAAAAATCTGCTGGAAATACATAAGGCTAGTTAGCAATTGTAAAATGATAAGGCAAGTTATTGACATTTCAAATTTGTATAATACACAAGATTATATCATTTAGACTGTTGTCTCATAAAGACTTAATCATACAAACTAATCCTGTCATACTTGCAGATACATGGATTACCTTTGTAGGTCGTACCCTACAAGCTGATTTAATGGAACCTCTTTGTCAGCACAGTTACAGTTATAAATCGTACTTTTTTCATAGCGTTTTGCATTTTATAATCAGGAAACTAAACCACATGATTATGTGCTAAACTATCTCAATCAAAAGAATAGTTTTCAATGTATTCATTTCAAAATAAGCTTGCAAAAGCAAAAAGATAATCAAAAGCTATTGTACTTTTATAGTTAAATCAAATGCTGTACATACATCTCAGATATAGTGTGTATTTTCTTATTCAGTATTACTATCAAGCTTTTTTGATTGAGAGATCAATAACTCATTATCAAATAGTAGAATGATACACCATGTTGTTAAAAAGGTCATTTGGACTAATATTTTTGTGGCTATATGTTTCTAGACAGGTTCATTTTTCCCTTTGACTTGCTTCCTCCCTATTTCTAGCCTTTAGTATTATATTTTCTGAGATATTCAGAGATAGTCATCATATTCGTATGTTAGGAATATTAATATATTTATTTATGACTACTATTAAGTATGCTATTTTTTCTGGTACTGTGGGTGATATTCACTATTATGCTTTTTCTTATTCTAATACGTTCACTCAAATTTCCTGATATAGTTTGAGATAGTTACAACTATTTCCTTGTAGTTAGAATTTTAGTTTCTGTTTTGTGCATATAGGATAGTTACATCATTGTTTTCCAACGTAGTTGTCTATGTAAGCAACAGGCAAAGACAATTTCAGTATTGGATTGAAGGGTGATGTGTTTGCTACATTTCTAGGCACAGATGTGGTTTAGGATCACACTAATTGTGTTTTGCAAGGCACAGGTATGTTTGAGCTAGTACTGACTGTATTAATTGGGGTAGAAATGCGATTGTGATGGGGACATAGGAATACATGAGACCATGATGAAAAAGGCCCAAATTACAGATCAAAACTGAGGCTCTAACATTTTTATGTTGAAAAATGAGAAGTAAATCCCTGAAGAATAGAATATGTGGTGCTGCGTGAGATCCAATAATATTATATAGCATTCTAAGTACCATTGATAATGATAAATGTCTCACTCATTGTTAAACATTGTCACTCCATTGGTGTTGATGGCAACATCCAATGGAAAAACAGCCAAATGATTTATGATTGCTTAATATTTTGTGTGACATAACCTGAAGTTGTAATCAAGAAACAACATTTTGTAATTATGTAGACAGTTAATAACCTACACTTGACATCATTATCCACATGACTCTAGGGAACCTATAGACCAAGACCACCAAAATTGGAAGTGAAGTATTGGCAAAAAGAGTCAAATGTTTCAAGTGTCTCCGATAAGCCCAGATGGAAGTCAAGAAGAAACAATGGAAGGACCGTATGAACATTCAAGAATCCCATTAATCCATTTCAGAAATATCACATGACCCACCTATGGCAGGGTTTGTAGATCTAATATTAGATTATTTAGTCATCTCAGGTCCAGCATCACTGGAATGGAAGAAAGTGATCCTCAATCATGAGGGCTGCCTAAGAACTGCTGCCTATTTGTAAAATGAAAAATGTCAGTGTTAGAATCTTATTTCATTTAATCTGACCATGGCTCCTGATGACTGCCCATCGCGAATTTTAAATAAGTTGGTGTAAGGGCGAAAGGTGGTGGAGTCAAACAATAAATTGGATTTCTTTGCACAGGGGCTATAAGGGCCAATGGCAGTAGATAGAAGGGCACATATCATCACAATGATATGAAGGGCTCAGGGTTGGGGGTGTTAATGGAGTCATGAAATGGCATGATTTGGAATGAATGGGGCTAATTATGAACCAATGGCTGCCATTCACAATCTGCCAGCTGTGGAATGTTGCCCAAATTGGGATTCAGTGCCAAATTTTCTTTAAAAGTGCACAAGTGATTCAAGACGTAGGACAGCCCAGATTTCATACAAGTGAAAAGAAATGCCACAAGCTTAAAATGACTGTTGACAATATTTTCATGAATCACCTCTTGACAAGTTAACATTTTTTTTTAACATGCAGAGAATCCTCCAATTTTTTAAAAGGATCTAGTGGACAGAAAATTTTCACACAAATATAATGTATCCATATAAGAAGACCACATGTGACCTTCCCAACCTATCACCAATTCAACACAAACAAAAACAAAGTTGCTGGAAAAGCTCAGCAGATCTGGCAGCATCTGTGGAGGAGAAAACAGAGTTAACGTTTCGGGTCCGGTGACCCTTCCTCAGAAACGTTAACTCTGTTTTCTCCTCCACAGATGCTGCCACACCTGCTGAGCTTTTCCAGCAACTTTGTTTTTGTTCCTGATTTACAGCATCCGCAGTTCTTTTGGTTTTTATCACCAATTCAAGCCTTAAGTAGGCCAAATAAGACCTCACCCATGCCACTCTGATTAACTGCCTTCCTGAGGGAGCTTGCAATTCAGGGGTCATATCCCACTCTCTGAGCTAGGAGGCCTAGGTTCAAGTGCCATCTACAAAAGAGGTGTGTAAAAACATTTCTGACAATACTATGGCTTTAAGAGGTGTATTTTGTCCTTTTTTAATGAAGAGAGGGTGGGGCAGAGGTACCAAGCTGTCTGTTTCAATCCAATAAAGTAAACAGCTTATGAGGCCTTGGGTCTTCTTTTTTAAAGTTGAAACAATAGAATCCCTACATTGTGGAAACAGGCCCTTTGGCCCAACAAGTCCACACTGAACCTCACAGCATCCCACCCAGACCCATCCCTGAATACTGCAGGCAATTTAGCATAGCCAATTTACCTAACCTGCACATTTGTGGATGGAAACTGGAGTACCCAGAGGAAACCCATGGAGAATGTGCAAACTCCATGTAGACAGTTGCCTGAGGGTGGAATTGAACCCAGGTCCCTGGCACTATGAGGTAGCAGTGCTAACCACTGAGCCACCATGCCACCCTATAGAATTGGCATAAAGAGGTGGTGTCAAGCTCGACAGAACCAGGATTTTAGTTTAACTTTCAGTAGTTGCTGGGGTCTTGAAGCTGGATGTGGAAGCTGTTATTCCACTCCCTGTTACAGTTAAAAGCTTGGGTTCTCTTCTTGCTGCTAGAATTGCATGTGAGACAAAATATTTTACTGAATTTGTGTTTGCCAAGGGTGTGTTTATCGGATGTTACTATATTGGAACAGTTGCTGTTTGGTTGTTGAATAATCTAATCCAATAGAGTTAAGTTATTCCAGTTCTTCTTTCTTTTGTTAGTGTTTGAACTGTAGTATAAGAATAAAGTCTGTTTTGCTTCATACCTGGCAGTTTGATCAATCAAATTGCATTTGGAACACAATGCCTTACACTTGTCCTCTAAAAATAAGAAAAAGTTGGAGCCTAGGCTATCTTCCCAGTATATTTTGCTATGTTTTTGATGATGGTATTCCAACAATAGTATTAGATGCAGAATTCCAAGATTCTGACCAATATCAATACAATAATGGCAAAGTATTCTGGAGCCAAAATGTTGTATTACTTGGAGGATAAACTGGAGCTGATGACATTCCCTTGGCCATGACAGATATTTGTGGTGATTGCATGATACTTGAGAAGTTAATGCGGAGGTGAAACCTTTTCTTTTAACAATAAAGCAATATGAAAAATGAACACTGTACCCTCACAAAGTGGATTCTGGAAAACCATGTCTCATTTTGTGGTTTCCACTGATAGGTGTAAGATCTGAGAAATTGGCCCATGCAGTCATTATTCTGGTTTGGATGGGTGTTTCACATATAGACCCTGTGGAATCCCCATCAGAACAGGCTCCAAAGCAGTTGCTTGGTAAATTGACACTTGGATCCCTCTGAATGTATCTATTTAAATTGGCAAATTTGGAGATTTCTGATGAAATTGAGTAAATAGTTACTAGAAAAAGTTAATTTATTAAATACATAGTCTAACTCCTGAGTGACTATTCAATTGACTCCATATTTACATCCCTCAGCCCCAACTACACCTCCCCAGGCCAGCGACACCCCCACCTCCTGATGTGACAGAATATGATATGATGTTTCAGCCCTACTCCAGACCCAACACCTGTTTTCCTAACCGCTGATCCCCAAATGCCACCCCAACACTTAGCCTCTCTGATGACTGACCACCCTCTCCCATTCCCCTCCTTCCCCTTTCACTAGTCCACCTTGTTCTGGATTAGTTCCTTTTTTTCCTCTACTCCTCTTTCCCCCACTTCAGACCCAGCAAAATCCTGGAATTTCATTCTTAATGGCATTGTGGGTCAACCTACAGCAGCTGGATTGCAGCAGTTCAAGAAGTCAGCTCACCACCACCTTCTCAAGGGCAACTAGGGATGAGAAATAAATGCTGGCCCGGCCAGCGATGCCCACATCCCACTGATGAATTAAAAAAAACCTTCTTCCCCTGCTCTGGACTAGTCACCCCTTCCCCACTTCACTCTTTTCTGGATCCACTGTCCCAAAACCCTTCCCCAACATCTGGACTTTTTCCCAACTGGCACCATCCAACCTGGCACCTAATGATCATAATTGAAATGAGATATTTTTCTCCAAATTATTGCATCAAGTTCATCAGCTCCAATCCATTGTGTGGACAATAGAATGCTTGAAAACTGTCTTTATACAACTGATACCGATTGGAGAGAGAGCCATAGGGAAGTGCTACAGAGCAGGCTGGGACCAACGCCACAGAGGCAGAGATTGACCAGCAGTAACAAAATAACACTGTCTCTAATTGACAGTCAAAATGAGCTAATTCATTCAATATCTCAGGCACAATTTCATTTGAAAGATCGGAAAATTCCAACCTCCATTTGTATTCAAGGAACCAAGAGGGAATCCTTCAAGTCTACAACATTTTCAACCTCAGTCTTCAAAACTAGTGAAATGGATGGAGTTTCTTGTTACTCTGTTAGTAAAATAAGTACAGGGTACATTTTTAACATGATCTTTTCTTGTATGAATTTAGGAATTGTATTTTTGTTATGATTACATTTCAGGCATTGCAAAAATAAACATTTATGCTCTTTAGCTGCTAGAAAACATGCTTGTCACAGACTTTACAAATATCAAAACACTCCTTCTCAAAAATACATTTTGTTACAGTTATCTAAGAGTAAGAAAAGTGGTGTTGGGTGTAGGGGCAAGTTATACCACACACGCTGCTCCTGTCTATTAAACCTTAGTGTTCTTGGTTGAACCCATAAGACTTTAAGGCAGAAAAAGATCAGATTCTAGGATCAGATATAATAATTATTATTTCTACAGGTTCTTGGTTTTGGTGATATGTTTTGAGAGTGTCCAACTGGCTATAATTTTCATACATGGTATTTTAGATTGATCATTGAAAATTTCATTTAGTTATATTAACTGACTATTTTCTGTATTGTAGGATGAACATTTCTGTGATTTTGTGGACACCCTGACAGAGTATGAAACAAAAAGTGTTCTGGCAACTCCAATAATGAATGGAAAAGATGTAGTTGCCGTTGTAATGGCTGTAAACAAAGTAACGGGATCACAATTCACCACCAAAGATGAAGAAGTAAGAATTTGTTTTGCTTTGTTTTGTACACATTCTCGGTATCCACAGATTTTAAAAATTAAAACTTTAAAATTCAACATCTTTTCCAGAATATCTTCTGGTACCACAATAATGGGTTTCATTTTTGTGACAGAAAAATTAGGCGAATGAAAATGTTAATAGCTTTCTGTCCCATAATGATTACAGTATAATTTTCACTACTGGCCAGGGCCTTCTCACAATATATTAACTGATGCAGTTTGAGGATATTTAAATATCTATAAAATAAGGATGAACATCACTGGAATTCTGAAAACCATGAATTTTGCCTCCAAGGTACCAGAAATAACCAATCCTTCAACACATTGTTTTTATTTCACCCTGTTGTCTACCTTAGCCTTTTTCCACCCATTCTAGAGCTGCTCCCAGAGGTAACCTCAGGGTTGGCCATTCCTGTGGTATGGAAGTCTCACAGGATTGAAGTGGCTTTTCTACTATTGCAGTTTGGTGATGGGAGGGAGCTGCTGCTGACTACATATTTTAAAGTTGTGCCTCAGCAGCTTTGCTTCCTGTTCACTCTTTGAGTAGTTCTCTAGGGATGAGAAAAGACAGCTTTTCCTATGTCTACTCCTGCTCTCTCCATTTTATTAAGTCATAAATCTTCCTTCACTGGCCACCAGGCTTCTTGGTCTTATGATTGCTTTCCAATCCTGAAAGCACTTAGACAGTGGTTACACCCAGGGCCTCAGATATCCAGTATGCAGGATGCAGTCTGGTCTGGCCTGCACTTATAACCAAGGCTTCAATCTATCTTGGTATAGTAACTGATTGATTGCTGATTGTTGCAGGAGTGGAGGGCTGTTACAGCTGCAAATGCCACAATCTGCAAGATTCTTTCAATAAGCAGAAAGTATATTTAAAGTAGAAACTAATAATTGTTTGATTATCAATGGCGTAAAGGGTTATGGATAAAAGATTTTGAAATACTGATTGGCCATGATCATATTAAACGCTGGGGTAGGCTCAATGGACTGAATGACCTATTCTTGTTCCTTTTGGTCTCTTGACGTTACTACAAATGATAGTCACAGCTGTCAATTGTCATGCATGCTGAGAGATTGACTCAAGTGTCTATGGTGAGTATATGGTCATTGGCAGAGTGTTCCTGGAACATCCTACTTAATAGATTTGTAGCTTTAGAATTAGGGGTACAGGTAGCTTACTGGTCTGCGTCTTTTGGTAAACTTGTGTTTTCTCAATTACTCCATACCCTTCTTGCTCACTTATACTGTGAATGATTCACAATGTCCCAGGAGAAAGTTTTTGAGTTGATAAATAAATGTGAAAGCATGTGATAGAGAGGATGATGCCATGAAGACCAAGGTAGCAGAACACAAATGAAGATCTTGGTCTGAAGCCTTCTGTATGGTCTTATCCTAAACACGCACTTCCTTATTGTCATTATTTTGATCCAAAGTTTAAAAAATTGTTTCCAGGCAAACACTTGACCTTCTCCTCTAAAGGATGCAGTTCTCTAGATCTAATTTGCTGGCTCTGGTACTTTTACCTTTCCATTTTGTGCAACTTGCTTTTGTGACAAGGTTGAAAGAATTAGTTAAAGGCTAACTTTTGAGGAATTAACTTTCAAATGCTATCAGACAGCTGATCGAATAGATAGAGATAACACAGTGTGGAACTGGAGAGGCACTGCAGGCCAGGCAGCATCAGAGGAGCTGGAAAGTTGACATTTCAGGTCGGGAACCTTCTTCAGAAATGGGGGAGGGGGAAGGGAGCTCTGAAATAAATAGAGAGAGGAGGGTGGGGCTGGGGAAGGTAGGTGGGATGGTGATAGGTGAGTGCAGGTAGGCAGTGGTGGGGTTTGGTCAGTGAGGTGGGAGGAGCAGAAAGGTGGGAGAGAAGATGGCCAGGTTGTGTCAGGTTGAGGCAGGGATGAGAGGAAGAGTTGGTCATGGGATGAGGCAGGGGTTGGGGAGATTTTGAAACTGGTAAAGTCCACATTGAGACCATTGCGTTGTAGGCTCCCAAGGTGGAATATGAGGTGCTGCTCCTCCAGTTTCCGGGTGGTGTCATTGTGACACTGGAGGAGGCCCAGGATGGACATGTCACCCAGGGAGTGGGAGAGGCAGTTGAAATGGTTCGCAACTGGAAGGTGTTATTTGTCGTGAGCAGAGTGCAGGTGCTCTACAAAGCAGTCTCCGAGCCTCCGCTTGGTCTCACCAATGTTGAGGAGGCCACATCAGCAGCAGCGGATGCAGTAGTTTTGGTTTCACTCTGTTAAAATAGAGTAAGGGCATTTACAATTATGCATACAAGTATTTGATGCCAGGAGGTTACAAATATGCTAAGCTGCCAGGTTGGTGACCCCTTATAACAGTGCAGTGCTCCTGCCCTCTCAACTTATAGTTGGTGATTAAATTAACATCAAGGCCTTGAAGGAAGCCTGATTGAGGAGTGATGTCAACTTCTACCTAACCCTGCCTGCCTGTGCCTTCCACCACTTTCCTTCCCCAGGCATTTGTGTTGGTGGTGTTGGCAATGAAGGTGTGTGGGTCTGATCATCAGGTTACACTTTGATTTGTCATCTAGAGATAGTAAGAACCGCAGATGCTGGAGTCAGAGATAACACAGTGTGGAGCTGGAGGAACACAGCAGGCCAGGCAGCATCAGAGGAGCAGGAAAGAAGATCCCGACTCGAAACGTCAACTTTCCTGTTCCTTTAATGCTGCCTGGCCTGCTGTGTTCCTCCAGCTCCGCACTGTGCTATCCTTGATTTGTCATTTGTCTCTTTCTCATCCTTATGAGCATCTTACCTTTACCATTCTTCTTGGCTCTTATGTAAAATATTCTTTCTGTCATGCCCACTCAAGTGCCAATTTTCAAACTGAGCTATCTTCATGCCTTGCCTTGCTCAGTGTCTGCACTGAGCAAATTTTTATCAGGAGTTTCAGCTACGTCTTGTATCATCATGCTTCTCTCCTGTGAGTTCACTATTCTCTTATCCTCCTCCATTTCCTCAAGGACAGTGTCCAGTCTTCCGTGTCACATAGCCTCACTACTCCCATTGTATCAATCACATGGTAAAGACATCTCTGACCAGTCCTCTGAATTGTTTTCCATTCACATTCATTTTCCCTCTCCAAACATTACCTTCTTGAGGTATGAAACTAACCCCTATTTAGCTACAGTAGAAACATGATAAGTTAAATCACTTATAAATTTGTGTTAAGCAGAACTTCAAGATAGCAAGCAAGCTCCAATTAAAACTGATTTGCTTTCAAATGACAAAGAAAAACTCATTGAACATCCAGTGACACATCACATACGCGAAAAAAATGTCTGTTTCAATTTGCTCACTCCATATATTGTTCTGAATTTGTACAGTAAATTAGATCTGGAAAAATTCCATAGCCTGCTCTGCTAAATGTGCTGTCTTTGAACAAGTCCACCATGTTGTCAATGCAGTCAAACATGTATTTCCTGTTTATCTGCTGCAGCGCAAAATCAAAATCCTGCAGTATCTCTGACAACAAAGTGCAGGGCTGGATGAACACAGCAGGCCAAGCAGCATCATAGGAGCAGAGAGGCTGACGTTTCGGGCCTAGACCCTTTTCTGATGAAGGGTCTAGGCCCGAAACGTCA